AAAAGATAAATGAATAGTATGGCAGAAGAGCGTAAGCTACTACTGCTAAGTTTTATTGAAGAAGAATATTAATGTACTTTGGCAACTGACCCAAACCCAAGTCTTAGACTTGGGTACCCAAACCCAAGTCCAAGACTTGGGTACCCAATACCCAAACCCAAGTCTCAGACTTGGGTACCCAATACCCAAACCCAAACCCAATACACCCAAGTCGCTTGGGTTTGGGTTTGTAACATACCTAATCTCACATTTTTATTTCTCAACAAAGTATAATGTACAATACAAACATATTCATTTAGATTTTAACCAAATGAACAATAAAGCTGAAGCTAAAGCATTGAATATAAGCCACCGACGAGAACGATAAATACCTAGCCAGTGATAGATTCAATAGTTTTCTGATGTGGCAACAATCATGTTGGTTTATTGTACCATTATTAGTATATTCGTGTAAACATTCTGTTAGATTTACAATTTTATTTAACTTGTATCAAGTTAGCGATAAAACACGTATTCAACCATTAGGCAAACGAAAAGCAAAAGGGCGTCTCAAGGAAGTTAGCACAGCTTTATTGTTCATTTGGTTAAAATCTCAATGAATATGTTTGTATTGTACATTATACTTTGTTGAGAAATAAAAATGTGAGATGCATGCCGAAAAATTTGGCGATCAAAAGTATCTTTTTTTGGTGATCAGAAAAATTGGTACCCATTAGTTAGTTATAGTTGATCATAATATACAGTAGTTGTTGCTAACGAAAAGCGAAAAGTACTGCAGTTGATTAAGAAGCACAATTTTTTTACATGTGTTTGCGATACAATTGAATAAACTACGCCCTACGAGGAAAATAAGTACCATGCGGGAAAATTTCATGGATCAGGACAAGATAAGCCCACTGAAGTCGTAGGGTAGGAAATGCCCAGGTCTTAGAAGTTTTCATATGAGAGGCGCACAAATCAGCTTCCCTGCACATTTCTAGATCGAATTCACAGGCAAAAGTTAAGAAAACGGCCAATATTCAGTTTCAGGCAAAACATACCGTTGTTTGACTTATTAATTAGTACAGAGCAAAATGAGTATGCCTACATCGGAAATATTTTACGAGTTCGCGAAGTGGTGAAATAAGTTTTTCAAACAGCGACAGATTGACTTTTGATATTTATTAACTTGCTCAAGGTTAATATATGAACTGATGGCACCGCGCTTCGAACATAGTACGTTTGAGATACGTGATGAACAACATAACTATCAAGCCATTCCTCACTGTGGTCCTAGAAAGAGTTTTGTGCTATGCCCTAACTTACGGATAGCAAGAGCTAGTCCTCTCCTATACTATATATTTTGTGACCCAGGGCTGTCCTGATTTACACATCTCTAATCCAATCTGTCTATACAGCTAAAACGATAGAAAATTCATTTATTTCGAATAAGAAACGGCGTATGTCGTGTGTGACATAGGACAATATTTTAACATTTAAAGGTCAATCAGGTAGTGTTCTTTCGTGTGTGTGTGTGTGTATGTACAAAATAAAAGGAAACAGTTTTTTCCAATGAGTTGTTATGATAGTTAATTAACTTTTATTAATAATGAACTTTCAGTTGCTTCCTTCACCTAAATATTACACGATAGTTTTTGTTGTTACAAACATTAACAAGTGAAGTATTCAGTAAACAAGACTATCAGTTTGGATTTGTTCGAACATCACAAGTATGTTGTACGGTATATTATTAGAAAGTGCTCGGGATGGTATTTGTAATGTGTATGGACTAGCAACATGGAAACGAATTGTTGAAGAACTGAATTTCGAGCATGAATCGTTTTCGACGTTGGGACGTTATGAAGAAAATCTCATTGAAAAAATTGCCGAATGTAAGTAGTAGAAATGTACATAACCATATCACCGGAGCGAAAAATTTCCAAAGCTTGTTCGGTCGAAACCGATTGCAGATTCGTCTTCTCCATGGTTGATTATGTGGACGGATAGGTCAGTGTGTGCTTTATCAGCTGCACGGTGACAAAAACCGAGAAACTTATGACGGTTTTTATACGCGGTTTCTCGCAGTCAGTTTGGCATGGCTTTTTTTCACGGTTTTGGTTGTTCATGTTTTTGTTTCCTATGATTGCAATATGACGGTTTTAAAACGTTCAGAAAAACCGTCAAAGTAAAACTATGCATGCAAAACCGTCTGTTTTAAAAGGGAAAAAAGGACAGCTTCTTCAAAAACATTTACCTTAGAAAAAGCTATTGCTGTTGAATTTGTAAACTCTTCCTCATCGTAGATACATCGGAGATATAAACGAGAGACGCCACACACACAGCTACGTACAGATACCGTATGATATCATCGAGTGTACTTGCGACGAACGTCTAGAAACTAGTGATTAGCATTTTAGGGGATATTACTTACCTTTCCCTCTACTCTTCGAGACTATCGGCATCAGAACAATTGCAAGATAGTCGCAGCTTTAAAGAAAAAAATTTGTAAAACGAAAAAGTTCATGAAATAAGTATATTTTGCAAGAGTATGCGCTGGAAGATGTCTTCTATTTCGAAACATGTGATTGAACTGCTTTTGGATGCTTGTCAGCGGTTAGAGTCGTTCATATGTGTTTCAAATAACATCCCTTCTTTCTGTCCAGCGTGTCAATTTTACTCTCTTATCTGCCGGACTAAATTCAATAAATGCTGGTTATTGAATATTCTTGAGTGCCTGTTGAGATAGATTCGGCAGAAATCTTTCAAGATTCGCTCTATTCAACTTATGTTAGTTAATCAGGAAAACTTCCTGACACACTAAAGGCTGAAACTGCGCATTTTTGGGAATTTTGATTCTTTGATAAAACCGTCAGCTAAAAAGCATGAGTACCTCTTTCACGGTTTTTTTCTTCACGCTTTGATTTTCATTGTTTTCCTTTGACAAACTGTCATTTTACGATTTTACTTCTACAGTTTTGAGGTTTACGATATTTTTTCATGGTTTTAATCGCATAGTTTTCAAACTGACGGTTTTATTTCAGAGTTTTCCTTCGGTCGTTTGAAAGTGGACAGTTTTGTTTATATGGTTTTAACCTTTACCCTTTTACTTCCATAGTTTTTCTTTTTTTTCATTCAAAAAACCTTTCAAATATCGAAGCACATATGGTTTTTAAAACTTTTTATCGCGAAGATGTATATAATTATAACGTTCTTTGTGCTGTTTTTTAAACTCCGATTGTCAAAAGACATCACCTACACGAGAACATAGTGACATTCTCTGTTATCTATTATTATTTACAGGTTTGACCGAAGTCTTACGTGAAGGTTCACCCGAAACTTATATGCAGTTTTTCGGGGAATGCTTTGTCAAATTTTTTACAACATATGGTTACGATAAAATATTACGTGTGGCTGGACGACACTTTCGTGATTTTCTCCATTCCATTGATCAATTACACGACAGTAATCGATTTAGTTTTCCAAAAATGAAATCACCGCTCTTTCATGTAACCGATGAAGATGAAAATGGAGCAGTATTGCATTATAAGTACGTAGAAATAATATTACTATTTTTTATTAAATTTGGATATAGAACTCATTGGATATAAAATAATAATGAGCTAGTTTAAGAAGAAATTCTTAACTGCTAGAATCAGTGGAAAGTTAGCGTATACCTCAGGTATAATGGTCGTTTCAATCAGTTAAGCATAATACTATAATAAAAATAATTTCTAATAAATTTGATTTTCGTCTCTTATCAATGATTAACTTTTCATAATCAGATCAAAACGTCGTGGATTTCAACGTTATGTTATTGGTCAGCTTAAAGAATGTGCTACGCGGTTTTATAATGAAGAGATATCAGTTCGAATTCAAGATGATATATCGACAAATGAGTGTACGTGTTACATTTTATAATTTCATTGTATATTCAACATTTTTTCTTATCTTTTAGACAGTCATATTATATTTCGGGTTGAATTTAACAACAGCAGTGCGAGAGAATCATCAAAACGTTTACAAAATGTACCAACGCTTCCTGATGTGACCAGTTCAACATTTTTTAAGGTACTTACAAGTAGATATGCTTAGAAAATCAAATCTAACGAGGGAAGGTTTCTAACTGATAAATCGCTTTCAGTCAAAATCTAGTGGATTATAGGTTATCGACCATGTTAATTCCGAATAAGACCATGGGGATCCCCCATAGCTTCGAAGATCCAATCTTCTGGAAAACCAGTTTTTCAGAAACTCCCAGAAATAACCCAAATCTTTCTTAACAATGCTTGGTTGTAGTGCGCAAATTTCTGATTAAAATGAGACACCCCCAGCTCTACACGACCTTTCTTTGCAAAGTTATAGAATTTATAAGAAGAGCCCTAAATTGTTCGTTGTCAGCTCAAAGCTACAGAAATGAGAAGGAAAAAATTAATTTAGGGTTCTTCTTATAAATTCTATAACTTTGCAAAGAAAGGTCGTGTAGAGCTGGGGAGTGTCTCATTTTAATCACAAATTTGCGCGCTACAATCCTGCATTGTTAAGAGAGGTTTGGGTTATTTTTTAGAGTTTCTGAAAAAATAGGTTTCTAGAAGACCGGATCTCCAAAGAGCTATGGGCAATCCCCATGATCATATTCGGAATCGGCAAGTTGGGCCAAACAAAAGTTTCAGGAGACTCAGTTCAAATTTCTAAATGAAAAGATTTTGACGCTACCAGGTTCTACAATGCACTGAACATCTCATGCAGAAACGTGTTCAGACAAACTGACAATATTTTTACAGAGCTACAAAACTTGATAGAATTAGCTGATCAAGTTCATGATTTCAAATGAAATCTGTTTTATGACTTCTCTATGTCTGTGAACACTTGATCAGTTGATTGTTAAGGTTGCAAGTTTTTCCACATAGTTCAATGTGTTTAATGAATGTATCAAAATTGCTTTATCTGGAGGTTTCGAATGAACTCTAAAAACCAGTTTCTAGCGAATGCAGTCAAATAACCTTATATGAAAAATGAACATCAGATTCCTAAGAGGAACATAATATTTGGTCAGTAAAATGGTCAGGAAAAAAATATATAAATGATCAGTATGAATATTGAATAGTTAGTACTAAAATGATCAGTAATTAATTGTAACATGGTTCGTTTATTATATATAATTAGCATTAAAAAAATACAAGTTGGTAGAAGAAAAGAAAGAAAGAAGAAAAAAGAAGAGAATCACACTAACACATTTCAATTCCTATACCTACCTTTTAATATAATCGACCATTAATAATTTTTATTTACTGATTCTTAAATTTATTAACAAACCTAATTAATTAATAACTGACCATTTAAGTAGCTTACTAGTCACTCATTTATTGTACTGATCAATCATTTAATTTACTGATTTTATAATTATTTTACCTACGGATCATTTCATCTATCTTACTGAACACTAATCTTTTTAAAAAAAACCTTTTAAAGAAAAGAAAATCTTCTCCTACTAAGCAAAATAAATTTGAAAAACTTTCTTGAGAGTAAATTTTTAGACATCTTTCAAAAAACACAGTATAATGTTCTAATAAGTAAAGTGACAATATATTTTTTTTCTAAAGTACATGTATATTCTATTTGGAACGGATTAATAATTTTTATATAATTTCAAACTAATTTCTAGGTTTTTCCATTTTGTATTCTGATTGATCCATCAATGCGTATTTACCATCTTGGTAAAAGTATAAAGAATTTGTTCTCATCCAATACACTTTTAAGTGGAAGATATTTGGAAGATGTATTTCGATTGGTTAGACCAGATATTTTACTCGGATGGAGTAAGGTATGAGTATGTTTAAAAAAAAATTCTTTAAACTCTTTTATTGATATATTTGTTTTCTTGTTTTCTGATTTTATCTTACGGTCGTCACATTGTATTTGTTATGGAAAGCAAAATTCCATTACGTTCTGATATTGGATCAAAAAAAGCACCGTCTGCTATCCGCTTAAAGGGGCAAATGAAATTAATTGCACACTGGAATATGGTTGCATTCTTGTGTCATCCAGTGTATGTTATAGAGAACCCTCTTGTGCCTCGTTTACAATATAGATTTTAGAAAATATTAATATTGCAGATTGTCCACAACGGAAGAAATGTTATCACTCGGATTATATTTACATGATTTAAATTTTTATGATGGAACAAGTGAAATATTAATAGCTGGAATGCAACATGCAAGAACGTTACAAGTGGCCATAGATAAGGTAACGAAACTGAAGGATAGAATACCATTTGAACATGATTAAAAAATAAGAATTAATTAACCAAACTTCTTAACTGGTGAAATATAACTAGAAAAATAGAATGTTAATAATTACTTACGTGCATCTAACCTTAAACTAAAGATGTTAACGGTTCATCAGCCAAGTACGACAACGACCGTTTTGGGACATCAACATTTTGAGCGGTATTATTCTCTGTATACTAGTGGTAACGTTCACTTGACTCAAGAGTATTCGTTTTCTTTCTTTATTTCTATATAAGTTTATCTCATACAGCATAGGTTAGATTATAGTTTGCAGTAGTCACATGTTTTAAATAAGAATGTTATTGGGACACTACGACATCAAGACCGTCCCATTTTTCGATGTCTCGAAACGGTCGTTCTAGCACTTGGCTAATGAACTGCTAACACCTTTAGGTTAAGGTTAAGTGCATGTAAGTAATTACTAGCACCCTGTTTTTCTAGGTATATTTCAACAGGATTTGGCCCTAGAACGAAGTATAAGGAAATGCTCTCGCACAATACGGCACAAATAGATATCAGGTTCGAGAACAGATCAAGAATTATGTATAATCAAGTACATTTTGAGAAAAAAGCAATCGAATATGTGACGGTATTTCCTCATGAATCTAGTCGAAATAAGTACCAAACTCTGCTACTTTGTCTCAAAGCTTGCATACTTTTGATATTAAAAATCCTTGAACTCTGCGGAAATTTTGTGACATGGGTTACTACTCTATCCGAAACTAGTGCTAGATTTTATCAGATTTAAAAAAAGCCACCAGATTCCGTGGAAAATATAATAAATATAATAATACAGCAGTGTTCGGTGCATTCCCATATCACATGAAGTAATCAGATATGTAACACGACAAAAAATTAGGTATTGTCATCGAAGATACACAGTTCGGCTTGTCCAGCTAACAGCCTCCATTTCTTGCTCGTTTTCGAAATTATTGCAATAAAGCTACAAATTAATCTAAAATGGAAACTAGATGATTGAGTAGATTAAACATTTCTCCACAAAATGAAAAGTGTCTCGGCTCTGAACATTGATTCGTTATGAAAATACAGCTGTCGTACAAACTGCGCCAAAAATCGATTTTTGGGCTATCTAAAAAGCGTGTCTAAAAGAGTGAAGACGAGCTGGTGAACATTGAACAAGTATACCAGTTTGTAGAAAATTGTTCACTCTACAAGATGTGATAGCTTGTCAAGTTCGAAACCATTCTAATTAATCTGTATTAATCAAAGAAAAAACAGAAAAATGGTAACGCTGTGACACTTTTGACCGTTTTTTGTCACAGTGTTGCCGTTTTTGTGTTTTTTCTTTGATTAATACAGATTAATTAGAATGGTTTCGAACTTGACAAGCTATCACATCTTGTAGAGTGA